CCATGGGAGCACATTGGTCAGTACAATCCTGTCCCTTTCTTAACACTTTGCTAGGACTCTGTACCAGTACTCTAAGTGTGTCCCCCCTCCCTGAGAAGCTTGGTATCAGGCACATCCCAAGCTCATGGTCTCCCATATCCTTTACTAACCTTTCTCATAGGTCCTTGACCAATCACTTTCCCATGCACCTTTAACTCCCCATCTGTCTGCTCCAAGCCACAGTAAATTCATCTCTCTTCAGGCACTGAATTCAGTGTTGTCTCTTTTACACTCCCAGTACACATCTATTCCCCAGGCAGGTTTGAGGGTAAAGGTGTTAATACTGGTTGAACTATGAGAAAAGCCTCAGCTGAACCAGGTGAGCACTGGCACTGTGCGCTGCATGGTTGCTGGGATGAGGTCTCAGCTGCCCACCTGTTCCATGGGCTGGAGACCCAGGTATAGGCCAGAGCTGATCTGTTCGAAGCTTTCACCAGCCCTTGGGGTGAGTTGCTTATCCCACCCCTGGGAGCAGCAGGGGCACCCAGCTCATGGGCAGCATCACTTCGGAGACCCTCCAGCACAGAGACACGGCACTTCGGACAAATCTGTGAGGCACTGACAGCCTTTAGGGCCACAGCGTGGTCACCCCTGATCTCCAGTGATCCTGTAAGTACAGCGTAGCTGTGGAGCGAGCAGGCCTTGACTGGAAAGCCCCACTGCTCTGTAAACACAAACAAATCAGCCCCCATCACCTGCTTCCCTTCTTTATCTCTGCATGTAATTTAAAACACCCTCCAGCCTCCCAAAGTCAAGCTTCAGCTGCTTCCCATCCCCTTAAGCCCCTTTAGTTCCTTCCCCCCCCCCCCACTCCCAACCTGGCTGCTTTTCCAGGGCCAACCATCACTGCAGAGACAAGTTGCTCTTCTCTCCCACTCTCTGATCCTTTCTGTCCTGGGTGAATGTGGTAGGAACCACCCACAGCGTGTTTTCGTGCATGCGTTTCTGCAGTCTCCCCTCCCCCCTGCCTCGTTTTTTAAGTTAAACTATCTCTTGCTTTAAAGAGAGCAAATACACAGCAGTGGCTTTCATCACTGCTGTATAATAGAGCAGTAATTCTGTGCCAGGGACTGTTTTCTATTTTATTTTAAAGGGTTTATAAAACAGTGTATGTAATTGAGTGAGTAAACTGAACGTTTTCTGGAGCCCCTGAGGGCTGGAACTTCGTGGTGGTCCTGGGCCTAGGCCCTAACCCTTTTTTTTTCCCCTCTCTCTCCTTCCCCCCCCCCCTCCCTTTCCCCTCCTTCCCCTCCTCCTTTACAACCCAGAGTTGCCACCAGCAGCAGCAGCAGCAATCTGTCTGGGGCTAATTGAGCAAACAACAAGGAGATGCTTTCACATGGCTTTTAAAGGAATGCTCCGGCATCCCCTTTCTGCGAGCAGCTTGGCAGGAACCTGCCAGGAAGGCTGGGGAGCGGGGGTCCCCGGGTGCTGGTGGGGTTTGTGCTGGCCTGTGCGCAGTCATTTCCGCCCCTCTGTTTATTTGCATTACAATTTGGTTTTAGCCAAGCACCAAAAGCTGCACGCTGCTCCCCAGCTCGCCTTGTGCGTATGTTTTTAAGGGGCTAGTGTACAGTATGTGTAAACAAATGTCTTCCAAAGCAGGAACGCATCTCTAACGAGTGACAGGTTTTTGATTTAGACTCAGTAAAATCCCCGTGGACGCTGGGTTCAAGAGCCCAGGCTGGCTTCAGGCTGGGCTGCATCAGCAAGTTGAAGCAAAGTGCTAATCAAGAAGGTTGAATGTGTTGATCAGCTCTGGATTCGCTTAGCACCAGATGCTCCCAATCTGAGAAGATCTAGTTGAACATGATTTAAGGTTGCGGAGTCCAACTCTAAGGGTTTCTGAAAGTCCTTTCTCTAATCCCGCTTCTTTCTCTGTGGGCTGAATGCATCTGTAACCCTGCCAGTGTCAGATAAAAGGCAGCCTGGTAAGAAATCCCTAATGGGGAGCTAGGGAAGGAGAAGGGAGCTGAACAGCTAAGCATGTGAGGTACTTCTCCCTCCTCCCCCGGAGTTTCAGGCAGAGTTTCTGCATGAACTGAGCTTGCTGGTACCAGCCAGAGCCACTGGCAACTGGCAGCCACGGCTGATAATGAAACGCTATCTGCAGCTCGGCTCTCTGGCACACACATTGGAGTCTGAATTCCCTTCCCTCCACAAGGAGGGCTTTGGGAAGGGAAGAGGGAAGCAGGGTGAATCCTTATCTGCCTATCGCATCCCCTCAGGGTGCGGAATCAGGCTTTGTTTCTAGCAAAACCATTCCTCTTTATCACTTAAACACTTTCTCGAAGATTTAAGGCAGGCACATTCATGTGTTTTCTTTTAGCCTGTGCAGGGAGAAATGAGTTTGGTGATTTCATGGGAGTCTGAAGTAGCAGTGACATACCAGGCAGGCTGTGTGTGCCCACTTTGGGAAATCTGGTCAACATGGATCGAAATGAGCAGGGGGATGGAGATGAGGGAATGCATGCTTTGATTTCCTGTGTGCCTTTAAACTCTTTAAGCTCATTGCTGCCTCAGTTTCCCCATCTGTAAAATAGGAGTGATCTTATTTGCCCACTCCCAAGTAGTCTTTTGGATTCATCAGGTATAAAATGCAAGATACAAGTCAGCTGCAAGCATGTCAGTGCACAATACAAACAGATGGTAGCACCTCTGCCACAAAGTATGCGACAGGCCCCATCCCAGCTCTGCGTGTTTAGGACAGTGCAGGATGCTGTCTGAAACGAAGCAAGAAGTTCCTCATTAAAAAGTGTTGCTACAGATAACCTATATATAGACCCATAAATTGACATGGCTCTTTATAAGCCTAGATGAAGGCATGTTTAATCTGCAGAGGCATAACGTAATTACTCTCACTGGATGGTAGCCAGGGTCTTATTCACATCATAGAAATCAACATGATAGGTAGTCTGCTTGGAGAAGGTTCAGGAATGGAGTCACAGGAGTTGCTACAGGGCCTGTTTGAGATATATTGGGAAAGTTGTTGGGGGTGAGGAATGTTATAGCAAGAAGTGCTGCAGGTTGGATTTGAGGTACCTTGGCAAAGCTGTGTGGGGTCTAGGACGGGAGGAGAGAGGTGCTGAAGGCTGGACTTGAGGCTGTTGGCAGAGCTGTGCTGCAGAGGTTGTGTGGTGCTACCTACATCACACTTGCACCTGGCACTTGTACAGTCAGTCCCTCGTTTTCCTGAGTACTGCATCCACCTCTGCTCATCCTGCCCAAAGTGCTGGAGATGGAGCTCCACATTCCAACTTCAGGATGTTAGCATGAGGCTCCAGGATTCGTTGTCATTTGTCACTGAATACCCTCAGCAAAGAACTAAATGACTCAAACTGATGCTGAAGATGAGAAGCTCCTTGATCCCTGTATTCTCGCCTTCATGAAGGGTCTCTGTAAGGAGGTGTGTGGCTAACCCAGGCTGAGGAGACAGCAGGATCCATATGTTCATAGGATTGGAGTTGTATTGGGAAATTGTCTTGCCACAGTCCAATATTCCTTGAAGTTTGTAGAGCAGGTTTTGATCAGACCCTTTCTGGAGCACTGGTTTGCATGGTACAAAGGTAATGCCTTGAATTTTAAACCAAGAGAAACATCATGTTGGCCCAGCCAGCCTGGGGTTTGCCAGGAATTTCTTCATTTAGCCAAAGGTGGCATGTTTGTTGTTTTGCAGCAGTCTTGCAAAATCCACTCCCCTGAGGGGAGGAGTTTTAGGTGGGTAAATAAAACACAACCAGTTCTTTCCATCATCCTTGGCTATCCACCCCCACTGCTGTATAAGATGTGGGGGACAACACAGCCTCCATCAGTGTATCCCAGCACCTAGCAACCCTTGAGCTTTATCCTGGGCTCCAGAGCCAATTGTTATTCCTAATGTGCAGAAGGGGAGATGGAAAGCCTGAGGGCATGGGTCAGACCACCTGAGCTCCACCTGAATAGGTGTCCAGCTCCCAGAGAGCAATTTAGATTCACCACCTCCCCCTCATGGTACCCTGAGGACACCCACTTCGAGCACACCAGCTTTGTGTCATGCTCTGAGGCCACATGCTTGGGGGGGGGGTTAGGCACTGGGCTTTCAGTTACGTGTTTTTATTATTTTGGCTTCAAATCCCTTATTTGCAGTCCTTCCCTGACAAGCTGCTTTTGCATTTTAAAGGGAAGGCTCTTTCAGTAGTGCATTAGCAGTGCTGGGGCAGGGACTGGCACATGAATGTGTCCGCTGGGGCTGTGCAGAGCTCCTGGGAACAGGCAAAGGAGTGACCTTGTGGAACTGGCCTCTCCAACATGTTTGCTCCACAAGGAGTCTGAGGAGGGCTGTCCACTGTTCCCCTTAGAGGTGATAACAGTGCTCAGAGACCTTGCTTCACACAGATGCTTTTGCAGAGGCTCCATCCAGAGCCTAATCCAGGAGGGAGAAGTCAAATTTAAATTACAAAATAAATCAAAGTTCTTTCTTTTCAAGATGCCAGGTTGAGATCTCAGGGGTTGCTGAGAGGATCTCACCCTCTTCCATGATGGCCCCAGATGCTCAGCAGCCCCTTTCCTCCCCAGGCTGCCTGCAGTCTGAGGCCACACGGCGCTCTTCAGGGCCGGGTGCATTACTGATCTCTAATTTTATGTCACATCTCCACATCGGATGTGGAGGGTTCTTCGACTCAACCAAGGATTACACCTGTCAGCAGCAGCTGTGACTTCCGTCGGGGCTCTCTTGTTTTGTAGTGACACATACATGTGAAAACTCATTAGGGAAACCTCCTGATGTTTAGTCAGTTGTTTAGGCTCTTGCCATGTGTGTGGGATTGATGCTGGAGTCCACAGAAAGGCAGCGAATCCGTGTTTGAGCTCCCCAGAATCTGCTTTTCTCATTTGTTTTATAGTTGCAGATTTGCAAAATGAGAGGTCTGAAGCACTGTGGCAAACTCAATTCCTCTTCTCTTCCTCCCTCTCTCTCTTTTCAGCCAAACATGTTAATGAAGTCATTGTGGGCACTGAACAGCTGATGGAGATATAACCGGAGTAGGTTTTAAAGATGATTTTATGGAAGCCAGCAGCAGAACCAGATGTTCAAGCATCGTAAGATCATCCGAACACATCAGTACTGGCACGGTTTACCCTGTCATTGCTCCTTTCCTGTGCAGCTTTATATTTATGTCTTAATAAAGCAGTATTTGCAGAGCGGTGTGTCCGCCAGCCCTTCCCCCCTCATTGGGATGCACGTGGGTTTGTGCCGGGTAATATCGGTTCCTGCGCCCGCCGAACGCACTGTACTTTTCCAGCAGAAGGGACCACACAGACTGTGCCCACTCCAAAGAATGATTTAGCCGCCCTCCCTGCGATGTAAACCACGTCCCTGCAGCCCTGCACCACCGTCCCCGAGCCTGGGAGAGACCGCTCGGGATGCGGCTGGTGCATCTCATCAACGCAGCAGGCGGGCAGCGGAACACAGCCGTAATGAGGGCTGCTCTTTGCAGCCCGGTGGCTCTGCCAGCCTCCTCCTCCTCGCTCTCATGATGCTGCCCCATAGCACAGATGGGTTTAAGCTGCGCCTCTCCTCTCCTGTACTGCAGTTGAGGAGTTTGGCACCCATTTCCATCAGGGCTGAGTTTGGGCTGTTACTTTGAAATCCTGCCCAAGAGCAAGTATGTGAGAGGGATGGAGGAGCGTGGAGGGGAAGTGGGGCTAAACCCTGAGTGCTGTGCCTTATTTTGATGGTTCTTTCACTTGTCAGTCTGACGTTCCTAATCCCAGGCAAGAGATTCCCTCCCCACATCTAGATAATCTGTGGATGACTCTACCTACATCTGTGCGATGAGTCGAGTGTGCTGATGTGAAACGCATAGCCTTGTGGTCAGGGGTTGTGCCAGGATTGTAAAGCACCTGGATGGGATTGAAACACAAGCTGTTCTTTAACGTTTATAAATTGGACACAAGTTCCTACCTAAAAGCTGTTTATTAGAATCTGGTAGGATTCAACGGGACATTTATCTGCCCCTGGCAGTTTGACATCCAGAGGTGCTTACAGCAGCTGGCTGGGATGATATTTCATTAACTGAAGTGATAAATGTTAGATGTGTGCTTCGTGGGCACCAGTGTCCCCTGAGGAAAATTACCATTTCCCAGCTAATTTGACAGGAGAGGGATTATAATCCAGACGTTCCCGAGTTTCATAAACAAAATCCCTTCTCTAAGGGACCAGATTGGAATGGGAAGTGTGGATAAGGATGAGCTTCAAGGCCTTTGACAAGCTGCAGGAAGAAGAAACGTGCTGCAGTTCAGCTCCAGCTTCGTGCTAGAGGTTTTTTGCCTCGCGTATGTGCGCAAACATGTTCCTAAGGTACGAAGCCTTTTTCATCCAAGGATCGCAGAGGCTTCACAAAGGTTTAATTAAAGAGAGTTCTTGTCTCCGTGTGCGGCAAGGAGCGAGGCATCCATTTTGGGTGTGTAGAAACAGAAGCAGAGGGGAGCGTAATTACCTGGCTTTGCATTTAGCCAGAAAGCTGTGGCAAAGCCCAAAGAGGTCCACAGGGACTTTGACTTAAACACAAAGCCTTCTCCCTTTCTGTTTTTAGGATACATTTTAGCTTCTGAAAAGTCCACATCCCCTTACTTAACAGCTACAGCTTTACCTCCTTGTGCCTTAATTATACGTTGAAGTCTCAGTCCTTTTGTTTAGCTAATTTAAGAAGAGGGTGGGGGGCTCTTTACTGTGTCGGTTAGAATTTAGCATTAATTTAGTGTTCTCTGACACTTGAAAACCTGGCCGGGATTTGAGGCGTTTTCTTTTCCTTTTTGCCTTTTACGACCTGCAGGTGTTTGGGGTGAGATAAAAGTAGATCCCAAAGTGAGATTTCGCAGCACAAATTATCAAAGTGAAGATTCACTCTTGATGCACTCGACGTGTGTGGCAGTAATTATGAAAAATAGTTCAGGATAATAGGGCCTTCAGGAATCCCAAGGCGGGCACTGGGAGGTTAACCCTTCCTCATCTAACCAGGTCTCCACACTGCTGTCATCATCAGGTGAGCAGATGATGGGTTGAGTCAGGCAACTTCAGTCATAAATGTTACTGTCTTCAAGAGAACTGGGGAGGCGACCAAGGAAATGAAGTTCTGTTCCCAGTTATAGATGTGACTGTTGATCCTGTGTCCTACACACCTTCAGGAAGGTGTTGCTGGCTGAGCTGCTTATCAGCTTTGAAGAATGGGTCACCTCTCACATAGCAAGTAAGTCTCCTCACTGTGCTGCTCTATCGTACCCATGCAGCAGACTGTCACAGCCCGTGCCCATCACAGTGCTGTTAACACCAAGTTGGTTCTTTATGTTTCTCTGAGATGGAACTTCCCAACTCTGTAGGTGCCGGTGCTTTTGGACAGGCTTGTCCTGAGCACTTCCTTGGCAGATGTACAACCGGGGTTGATGTGAGAAGGTTCTTGCAGTGGCATGCCACGTGCTGCATCTGCACGTGGTGAAGCAGAGGCCTGCCATGATGCCCAGTGAGGTCCCCAGCCAGCAGCACCTCTGGCTCCTGGGTGTCACTGGGCAGTGCCCTGGGCAGCAGGTTGGTGTGGGTGCAGAGCCCAGCAGCAGTGTGTGCACACACTGCACCCTACTCCTTCCTGTGAGTCTTGCACCACTATTACACCATGATGGGGGCACCTGAAGCTTTGTCCCTTGCCCTGGCTCCTGTGAGAGGTGGGTACCACCTGCAACAGCTCTGCAGCGATGTCCTTCCCAAGGTGTTCATCGTCCTTCATGTGGGTCAGGAAAATTCAATGCACAAATAGAGGCTGGGTACAGAATGGATTGAGAGCAGCCTTGAGGAGGACTTGGTGGTATTTGTCAGTGAGAAGCTCAACATGACCCAGCAGTGTGCACTTGCAGAAAGCCAGCCTTCTCCTGGGCTGCATCCCAAGGAGCATGACCAGCAGGTCAAGGGAGGGGTTTCTCCTCGTCTACTCCGCTCTCATGAGACCCCCACCTGGAGTCCTGCGTTCAGCTCTGGAGCCCCAAAACAAGAGGGATGTGGACTTGTTAGAGTGGGTCCAGAGGAGGCCACAAAGATGCTCCAAGGGCTGGAGCACCTCTGCCATGGAGACAGGCTGAGAGCTGGGTTTGTTCAGCATGGAGAAGAGAAGGCTTTGGCGAGACCTTAGAGCAGCTTCCAGAGCCTAAAGGGCACTACAAGAAACCTTGGGAGGGACTTGTACAAGGCTATGTAGTGACAGGACAAGGGGGAATGGCTTTGAGCTGGCAGAGGAGAGATTTAGATTAGATAATAGCAAAAAATTATTCACTCTGAGGGTGGTTACAGGAACAGGTTGCCCAGAGAAGCTGTGGCTGCCCCATCTCTGGCAGTGTTCAAGGCCAGGCTGGACAGGACTTGGAGCAACCTGGTCTAGTGGACTAGGTGTACCTGGCCATGGCAGGGGGTTAGAATCGGATGAGCTTTAATGTCCCTTCCAACCCAAACCATTCTGTGATTCTGTATTTGCAACCAAACCCATTTGCAAGACATAAGACTTGTGAAAAGCATTTGTTGGATGGTTACACATACATACATACATACATACATACATACTCCTCCCTCAGCCATTCATGTTTGCTTTTGTAGGTGATGGTTGTGATCTTTCAGGAAGGAGCAGCAAATCTGATCCCTTATGCAGTCAAACCGAAGTGGATGGCTCCCATCTTCCTGGCAGCCTTGGAGCAGAGCCACACAAGGGGAATGTAAGCAGCCAGTCATCCCGTGGGACAGTGGGCTGCCCACCTCAGTGGTGTTCAGATGGACACAAAACCTTCTTGGCACCAGCCTTTGATCTCACTTTTGGGACACTTGTTTGGTTTGTGGGCAGGAAGGAGAGAGGAGCACCAGGCTGAGCAGTTGTATGGCCTCAGGTCCACAGGTCTGGCTCCCCCATGATCTATCAAGTTGATGCTGTGTGTGCAGCCCTAGCAGCAGGACTCTCCTGAACCTCTTGGAGCTGGACATCATGAGGACTCACTAGTCTTTTCCTGCTTCCAGTCTCCAAGGTTTATCCTGCAGAGTCGTGTTGCTCCTTCAGGCTTTCTTGCTGGCTTCTGCACCCTGCTTTCCTTCCTCTGGCTGCCTGGAAAGAGTGGCCATCCCCATGCCCTGCCCATGCTTTGGACTTTGCTCGTGGGAGCTTCTTGTCCCAGGAGACCAGAACTTTCCTTACAAACCCTACAGGTCTAGGGAACACCAGTGTTCTCAGGAGGTGCTTTGCTGCCTCCACACTGTCCCAAATCTGCAGTGAGAGCCACTGGCTGCTCTGGTCCCTGCCCTAGTGTCTTGCCATGGGAGGGGGGCTAGATCAAGCCCCAGTTGGTGCTCACAGCACGTTGTGCATGGTGTAACCCAGAACCCAGGTACCACTGGTCCTGGGATGTTACAGTGGCCATCAGTGCCACCCTTCTGTCACCCTGCCCATTCCTGTGGCCTCTGGTCACCTCTGTTTTAAAGCACTGAAGACTGCAGCAGGCTGTTGGAGCTAGGTCCCTTAGCATTGCAGTCTGCCTACCATGCCCCATCCCAGCCTCCCTGGTGCCATGGGGGCATGCAGGGCGCAGAGACCTTCTCACTGAGCAACTGATCTAGGGCCATGGAGATTCCCTCACAGGGTCCAGCACCCGGCCAATCCCCCCAGCACCTCTGCAGCCTCACTCACTCCCAGCTGGGCAGCTGATTCCTGGATCCTGTCAGGTTTCACTCCATCTCCCGGGAGCCAAGGTCCACAGCCGTGCCTGTGCCTCCCAGACGGGCCGGCAGACGAGAACTTCCTTCCAGGCCCTATAGACAGACATTTTATATACGTTAAAATACGTGTGTATATAAATATGGAAAGCAAGAGCTTGGGAGAGCTTGAGTCTAAATAAACTTGTATGTTTAAGGCTTTTAAAATGCTAATGCTGAATTTCAGGGGAGGGGGGAACGCAAGGGGATTGTTGGACTGAGCACCAGGACAGCTGATGAGCTTGGATCGGTGCCTTTACAATTCAAGGAAAAAATGGGATAGTTTTGGGAAGGAAAAAGGGATTTTCTTGTTTTTGTTTTTAGTAGAAAATAAAAGAAGCTGCCTTCTTATTTGCCTCCCTCCCCCAGCGCCGGAGCAGCGAGCGACTGGTGTTGTATGCATAAGCTATTCCTTTGTGCAACATCTAAATGGTTAATTGTGTTTGAGGAAGATGTACGGGCGAATGGAGGGACCACCCAGCAAGAGACAGACAAGAAAGAGCGATCTCTGAAATGTTTAACCAGAGAGAGAGCAAAGTTGTTTAAAAATATTTAATTTACAACATTCCACACTGCTGATTATAAATTGGCCGTCCAAAAACACTGCTGCGTGCGGGGAGGGATCCAGGCAGCATGAAACAAATTCTTGTGATTGTTTTTCCTATCTTCCTCCCTCCTTTCCCTGGGGAGTTTAACCCCGCGGCGGGATGTGGGTCGCCCCAAGGCATGGGGTCGGTGATGGACCGACCAAAGTCCCTCAGGACCATGGTTTCTGATGAACACCTGTGCACGGGGCTGGCACACACCCCCTGGCTGCACACAGCCTGACAGTGCTGGAGAGCTGGAAGGGATGGTGAGGAATGACCGACTGGTGATGTCAGCAGCAGTGATGGGTGCATTTGAGATGCCCCGCAGTCCCTTCCCTCTGATTTTCATCCCAGCACTGAGATTCTCCCAGAGCATCCAGCCATGCTTCCAAGCAAGGAAGCTGGGAATCCTCCGGTGATGGGTTGGGAGACTCAGGGAGCCAAACCTGGCCAGGCTGCACTGCCCGTGAGAGGTCCCTCACCACCTCTGGGTTGGTGGTGCTCAGCCGCATTGTCCAGCCATTCCCAGCGGCTCCAGGGAGGAGCTGGAACCTGGGTCCTCACAGGGTCATTGAGCAACAGCAGCGTCTTCCCCCGCATGGGCCTTTCTGCAAAGAGGGTGTTTGGTGCCAGATGCCGGGAAGAAGGGATTTGGCCGTACTCTGCTCGCTGATCCACAGTTGGCTTCGATGAACCCAACCGCCCCAGCTCTGCTTCCCTCATGCAAGGGGCTGGAGCTGCTCTGCAAGGAGGGACAGTTCCCTCTCACTGGTGGCCGGGCCGTCCCTCCATCACTTGGGATCTGCTTCCACAATGATATCCTTTCCAACCTTCATGGCCCCTGTTCCCAACATGGCGAGGAAGATGTGGGAGAGCAGGCTCCTGAGCTCCTTACTGTGCTGTTCCAGACCAAGCAGGCAAAGGATACACGTAGTGGGGGGCAGCCCCCTTCTTTCCCAGCCAACACCAACCCTTACAGATGTCACCCATGGCGTTGGAGAACCACCATGCCCAGAGGTTACTGGGGAATAGGGGAGATGCACAGAGGGGATCTGAGAGAAGCCATGATCCAAAAGCAGTGGTCAACCCTCTGTATCAGCTGCTTTTGCTGCAGATCCCTCCTTGATCCTTGCACATCCAGCCTTGGAGAGCGAGAGCCCAGGTCTTTCACACCCTTGCAGCCCCATAGCCCTGGCCATGCAGCCAGCCCCCTGGGAGCCCTGTGGAGCCCCAGCCAGCAGGAAGGACAAGGGTCTGCCTGCTCCCGCTCTCTCTCCCAGCAAGAAGGGGCACAGGGAGGGCTGCAGGGCTGTTTGCCTCACGTTTCCTACCCCCTAATCACTGGGGAAGCCTCACGGGCCACCTGGGCGCTGCCTCGCATGCAGCAGAGCCCTGTGTCAGCCCGAGGAGCCGGGCTGGGTTTGGCTGCTTGCCCCCGTGGCGAGCTCGGCTCTCGGTGGCTGAATCGCTCCGGGTCCTGCCAGCCCCAGCCGGTGCCGGCAGCGAGAGCAGAGACAAAAGAGCTTGTGTCCTGCTGCCAGCAGCCGGCCCCGCCGCGCGGCCGCCCGCCCAATTAAACCGTGCCCGCTTCCCATGCGGCCCCTGCACCACGCACCAGCCCCGGGGACCCCCGCTCTGTGCGGCCTCCCTGCGCGCACCAGCGCTTGGGCACCAGGCTCCATCGGTACCCCGTGAGGGCATCTCCCATGGCCCGTGGTGGGAGGGTTCACCCCATCCCTAAGCTTTCCAGGCTCACAGCACCCATCAGGTAGTGGGCTGCTGAGCATCCCTCCCCATTCCTGCTCCCCACAAGGACTGGGCCGGGATGGGACCTGCCAGCAGCAGCCACTGCAGCAGCGGGAGCATCCCCACGCCCCGTCCCGACCCGCAGGGCCGGTGTCACATCCACTTAGCCGGCTCCGAAAATCCCTCGCCCTGACACCTTGTTAAATACCCACCAGGGGTCACAGTTCCTGGGTTTCTTTTTCCTGCTTTTCCTTTACCCCGCTGAGACGTTTCGGTTGGCAGGAGCTACCCCCCCCCCCCCCGCTATTAGGTATCTTTCGGGGAACAAGAAACCTAGATCACTTACAAATTAATTTGGAGTTAAACCTACAGAAAATGAGAAACATGCTGCTTTGCAGGAGAGAGCGCTTGGCCAGCGATCAAGACAAATACATCCAAACCGCTCCATGCAGCGCCCGGGAATGGGGGGCTGCGCGCTCAAGGTAGCCGTCGGCTGCATCCGGGTGCGTTTTAATGGGGCCACGGCCTTTCCTCCCAATTAAAACCGGAGCAAACGAACAAAAGGGACAACCTGCTCCCTGGAGCATGGAGAGGATGCAGGGAAGGAGGAGGTGTGAGGGGTAGTGATGCAGGATGGGGGTCAGTGTATCGGTGTACCCCATTATCTTTGCTGATGGGATGGGGACTGGCTGCAGGCACCGCTTTGCCCCATGGCATATGGATGCTTTTGCATCCATAGCCACGTCCCCAAGGCCACAGCAGCTTGCAGCAAGGCTGCTTCCCAAGGGGACACAGTGCGATGTAGGGCACCCCAAGCCCCCTGGCAGCCCAGGAGCTCCTGGAGGGTCTTGGATATGGGTCTGGCCACCACTGTGC